GATTGGTGAGAGAGAGAGAGAGAGATGACTTCTCCTCTACTTTATGTCTGGTTCTTGAATTATGGTATCTGATCATACTGCACAGACCAGAAGAAAACCCGTGAGGAGCGGGGGTCGGTTCCTCCGTGGTACCTCCGACGGTCAAATCAGCTGGTGAGCTTGAGTGGAGCTTAAGGGAATTTCCCAAGAACCGGTGAGGTCCTTAAACGCTGGGGATGCTCTTGTGTGTAAGAGCTTAGAGAGTAGGAGGAGCTCTTTGTGAGCTTGCCTCTCTTATTGTAAAGTATTTTTCTGAGAGGAGGGGAGAACTTTTCTCTAAGTGTAGAGAGTTCAATTCTTACCAACCAGCCCCCTACCAAGTTAGGATTCTACCTATTTATATTATGGTAGGAGGGGTGTATTGGTCACTTCAGCCATGCACAGGAAGGCAGTGACGAAGTGTATGCTGATAGTTGAGTCATCCCTCGCTTGACTGATGTCGGCTGGCGACTGGATGGTAAGTCACTTCAGTATGGGAGAGGATGTCCCTATAATATCCAGGAAGTGATAGAAGAGTGTTTGCATAGAGCACGTTGACTTCTGAGTCATCCATCGCTTGAAAAAATGTCGGCTAGGGACTGGAGGGGAAGTCACTTCGGTACAGAAGAGGATATCTCTGTAATATCCGGGAAGTGATAGAAGAGTGTTGCAGAGAGCATGTTGGCTTCTGAGTCATGTAGAATACAAAGTTAATATATAATTAAAACCGAGGGGAAGTCACTTTGTATTTTCAAAATTTTCATTCTAAACTATATTAACTTCGATGGAATATCTGATTGTTTGAGGCTCATTTTTTTTGCGTAAAAAGTAAATATTTATAATTATATTTTTTTCATTTTTTTTTCTTAATACAAAGTTTAATTATATATTAACTTCCCCCATCAGTAAATATTTCTTTGCTAAAAAAGAATACAAAGTTAATATAGTTAGTAAATATTTCTTTGCTTAAAAAGAATACAAAGTTAATATAGTTTAGAATGAAAAAATGAAAATTTTGAAAAAAAACTGATGGGTAGACTCACAGCTGATGGGCCATGGCCCAGGCCCGACCCGGCTCGCCTCTAGGTGGATTGTAGGCTACGTTGGGTCCGATCCGAGAACCGGAATAAGAAAAGCGGTCCGGCCCACTCTAACCCTCGTGGGCCCAAGTTAGACCTAACCCGATCTTGAATCAGGAAGGTCGGGTGATGCACCTAAACTGGTCCAGCTCACAGCCACCCTGTAGGCACTTTAAAATTTTTTGCCAAGAGACAGACGAGGGTCGCAACTCATTATAACGAACCTCATCAGCCAAGATGGACGTCGAAGTTCAATTGGAATTCAAATTTGAACTCATAGAAAGGCGAGGCTCGACAAGGCAACGAAGCTGATTAACACCGCCTTTCGGGTCGACATGAAGAAACGACGAGTTGACTGGTCGACTGGGTCGAGCGGACTCTAGGCGAGTCGTCTTAGATAGGAGGAACCAATTAACACAGCCTTTTGAGTCGACACAGGGATGTCACAGCAGTGAAGTTCGACATCAAAGTTGAAGCTCGCCACGCAGCGAAGCCTAACATCAAAAGCGAAGTTCGTCATTGGAAACGAGGTTCACAGTTCATCGTCTAAAGATGAGGCTCGTCAGTGAAGACAAAGCTCATCATTAGACTCAAGCTCATCAGTGAAGACGAGGTTCGGAAATTCACAAGATTTGTTATGCAGTTAGACCTAGCTATCGAAGACGATGTTCGTTAGTGAAGACGAAGTTCGTCAGACGAAGTTTGTCAGACGAAGTCGGTGAAGACAAAGTTTGTCAGAAGAAGCTCGCATACTGCAAAGCTTGCCTTGTAAGACGAACTTCGCTGCGTATCGAGGCTCGTCCAACCTAACGAACCTCGTCTCAATCAAAGACGAGAATCGTTTTCCACATAAAATCCAGCTATAACGGCTCCAAAGACTTAGTCAACCACGTGGGCTAAACTTCAAGAGCACGTTACGCCCTAGTAAACGGCGTGGGCGGAAATGTAGGAGGCAGTTACGCCCTCTACCCACAATTCTAGCACATCCGTTACGTGCTACAAAACCTATAAATAGCCATTGGCCATGAGCAGCTACGAAGAGGGGACTTTTGGATACTTTTGGCATTTTTGGACTTTTGGATCTGAGACTTGAGAGCTTCGATCTTCAGCTACTGCGCAGGGATCATCGATCAACCGCAGAAGTCACTCTTGTGATCTTGTTTTGATCGTCAACGGGAGGCAATCTCGACTCGAGCATCGATGGAAGCATCCTTTCGCCACCAAGAACCCACGTAAAACAAAAGAGAAGTTGAATTAATCTTCTCTTTATCTGTAATCGAGAGATAGAGCGAGTGATTGTAAGGGTTTCGTACTAAGTGATCGAACTTATTTCTTAAAATAAGAAATTCAATCAATCCCAATTTTTCGACCCTACACACCCATGTTTGCAACACTTTAACTTGGATTTTGACACTTATCTGTAATTATAAGAATTTTAACTTTTTCATTTATGCATCTATTGATTGAATCCGATAGGTAGTTGACTTCCCGATGTGGAGACAAAAGAAATTTTTTTCAAAACAACCTCATTTAAATTTTTTATTTTTAAAATCGACCCAATTTTTTTTATTTACCAAAACCGACCCGTTTTTTTGATTAGCAGCCTAATCACCTTCCTAAACAGTCGGGGTTGCCAACCCCGACTATTTAGGACATAAATTTTTAGGGTTTAAGGTTTCTAATTATGGTTTAACATCCTCCTAAATAGTCGGGGTTGGCAACCCCGACTGTTTAGGAGGGTGATTAGGCTGCTAATCAAAAAACGGGTCGGTTTTGGTAAATAAAAAAAGGATCGATTTTAAAAATAAAAAAAAAATTAAATGGGGCTGTTTTGAAAAATTGTTCGGAGACAAAAAGAAAAGTCGAAGTATTCGATATCCTCTAATTCTAGAGTGTTAATGGGAGTATTTGAAAAGACTAAGTTTTTTTAGCATTTAAATAATTGATTCTATCTTGTAAAAAATTCTACGAACCTTGTAAAAAAAATGGAAGCAGGGAAGATGGTTGCCAGAATTTTGAGATGGCAATGGCAGCCAAGGTTCATACTAATGCGTTGCGTTTTCTCCCCCTTTAGTTTATATACAATACCCTTTGTTGTGGTATTACAGTTGTCATTTTCCTTTCACGTGCTTGAAGTTCTTTCCTTAGATTAATCTACAGCATGGCTCCATATGAACACTCAACGTCCAAGAAAGAACCCCATCGCGAAGAAAACAAAGGCTTCATAAACTTTACTTAGTTGTGATTTGCTTTATTTTAAAATGGTTTATTATAGTTCACTCTCATTTTAAAGCGGACTTTTAATGAAATTTGTATCATCCACTGGGAGTACTAGAAAAGCACCATGTTGTTGTGTACATCGTAATAAAAATAAAATATAACTTTTTTTTTGAAGAGAATTGACCTGTTATGTTGTTTATTCGAAGCAATTGAGGGTCATTTTTGACTTTGAATATATATTTCCGTAGTTTTGGATTCGTTATGCAAAATTATGATATGATTTTATTTAAACACATGCGACGCCCACATTCTAAGCAAATACATCATAGTCAATATCTTTATCTAATATCTAATACTATTATAAAAATGGATTGGTATGTTAAAACATTTCTTCCCTTATCTTTTACTTTTATCATATATGTTCACAAATTTTTATCTTATTAGTTTTGAACGAAGTTTGTAAAATTTTATCTTATTAGTTTTGAACGAAGTTTGCAAAATTTTGATTATCAAAAATCAAGAAAAAAAAATATGTTCACGTGCAATGCACGTGCATTATACTAGTTGGCTTAAAACTGGATTGAAACTTGAGATTGCATTTATTGGGGATATTGCTTTTTATTTAGTCCAAATATCTACAATCCATTTCTCATACTAATTTCACAGAGAAAGGAATTGTGTGGAAAAATCCTAATTTATTCTAATTATCCTATCTTCTATGAATTGATAACTAAATGATTTATCATATTCATAATGCGACTTAACATGTTATTGGATAAAAGAGATATGTTTGATATAATTCAAATCACTTACCTATTTTAGTTCGAAGAGAAACCTAAAAAACATATGCTATCTACCTAGCACTTAAAAGTTTTTGGACTTAATAAATATATATTTTTAAGTTTTTTAAATTGCAAAAACACCCCTACAAATTTAATTTTTATTAAAACATCTTGAAAATTATAAATAGTTTTCTAACTTCAATTTAGTGAAAAATCTGAAAAATATATGCTAGCTAGAAACAGAAAGTTTTTTTTGACTTTGGAGAAAATATTTTATAAATTTTGAAAACCCCTAAAAATTCAAAATTTATAAAAAATACCTTGAGAATTTTAAACCAATAAACACACTAAAAACTTACAAATAACACAAACACCCCCCGAAAATTTATGAAATTTGAAATAAACACTCTGAATTTTTTTTTACAACTTATAAAATACAACCCTCATTATTGTAAAATTTACAAAAATCCTAATAATTTCCAACTTAATAGTACATTGAAAATCTAGGAATTATAAATATCCCTATATAATTTATAATTTATAGAAAACACCCTTAAAGTTTTAAAAATTACAAACAAACTCTTAAAATTTAAAATTTACACAAACACCCTGAGAATTTCAAACCCATTAGTAAATTTTAAAGCATAAGAATTATAAATAGTCTTTAAACAATTTATAATGTATAGAAAATGCCTATAAGTTTAAAAAATTACAAAAAACCCTCAAAATTCATAATTTATAAAAGAAACCATGAGAATTTCTAACCTATAGACACTAAAATGAATATGCAAAATTACTAACAACCTCCAATAAATTAAAATTTTGTAAAAAATATCATACACCCTTTAAAATAATAGGTTTAGTAAAAATATTCATGGTCAATATTATCCTTAACTTTTTTAAAAAGAACATAACTAATTGAAAATCTATTAGATTTAAAAATTACAAAAACACCCTTAAAGTTTAGTACATTGCAAATTACCCCTCCAAAGTTTGAAAATTTTTAATATTTTTTTGTAATTCCTTAATTTCAATGTAATGTTTAATAGTTCTGTGTATTTGTATTGCAAAATTTTAGGGTTTTTTAAATAATTTTTAAAACTTTTGAAAGTGTTTATTTTGTAGTTTTCTAAATTTTTATTATGTTTTTAGTGTAATGCATAGATAAGTTAATTAATGATTATATTGAAGAGTAAGTTGTTCTTAAGATTATTAGGCTATAGTTAAGTGTGCACATCACTATTCCTAGAATATAGTTTATATATGCAAAAAATTTCAAACAATCTGTATAGTGGTTAAAAAGATTTTGAGTTTAATGTTCTATTTTTTATACATTATATTTAATATGAACCCACCATATAATTTTGATTATGGTCATCATAAATTATAATATATTTGATTGATTGACTATATATGTATATAGGCAATAGATTTCCTTACTTTGTCACATTAGCTAATATTTGACGCTTAATAATTTAAATTATTACTTTTAAATTTAATATAAATATGAGCTCTAATAACATTTATTTATTTACCTATAAAATAATACAATCTGAATTCCTACTTTTTGCTTGAGATTTATTACATAGTTACGTGTATCAAATTAGTAACTAAAATAATAGTTATTTATGCTTAAATTAGGATGATTATAGTCGGTTACTCACTATAAAATTTTTATAAAGATATATACCTTACTTTCTATATCTATCTGCACTGCTCATGTGTATTTTATAAATTAGTTGTTAATTTGACATATTAAATTGCTTTTCCTTTGTAGAATTTCTTCTTTGATTTTTGGATTGTGTAATCACTATATCACTATTCTCGCGTAGAAAGGACCTCACTCTAAATAATTTTAAGCCAATGTTTGAGTTGAACTGAAATATATGCTATTGCTACTATGTGTATATATTTTTTAAGAAAATCATGTCAACACTTAAACAGAAGAGAATATTCTAACCTCTAATATTATAAACCAGTTGAGTAATTAGCAAGAGAGAACTGACACAAAAAAGCGTGAATAGTAAGATAAAGAGGAAATGTAATGTCATTGCTAACAATACTAAAAATAGCAAACTATAATGTAAAGTTAATCTATTTTGTGAAACCCAACTACTGATTATAATCATCGAGATTTCCATATATATATATACTTTATAATTTTTTAAAAGGGCCATATAATCTTATATAATAAAATTGATTTAATACTGAATAATAATATCGTTGTAGTAATATCGTTATTAGGAAAAAATCTTTATGGATCAATATAATCTTTACTATATATAAGCTATGCACCCTAAATTGTTGTATCTTTTATAGAGATAAAAATTTTGAATACGAACATCTAACATGTTGCTCACACAATATTAAAACCCACTTAGCAGATGTGGATATTCTAAATGAGTTATATGTTCCATATACAATACAATTATCATAAGTAAGTGAGTTATAACAACATTTTTAATTCACATCGTTTGTGGTAAGATGATTTGATAGAGACCTTACACCAAAGAAGAAGAAAAATTATATTTAGAGTACATGACGAAATATATCATAATCTTCCTGTTCTAATTTCGCAAGAAAATAATTCTTTATACTTTCAGTTTTACTTCTGTAATATAGAAAATAAGCTATAAAATTGATTGAGAATAGTTGATAATATAAATATGAGTAAAATCATAGCTAAAAGTTAACGTGAATATGAGTCAAACCACAACTAAAAAATTTAAAGACATGTTGCAAGTAAATTCATATACAGAATTCCTTTGCGAATTGAATGATAACTCATCGTTGAAGACTTCAAGATACTAATAAATATAGATATTGTACTAGATTAATGTGTTTATAACTCACAAATAGTAGATCACATGATCACAATCTGGATTGAAGGAAACAATGGTAATATTTCATTTGAGAGAGAGATTATTGAGTTGAAGATCAATTTAAAATTTTTTTATTCTACTTTTATCAATTTAAATAATAATGATATCCAACCACGTGCAATACATGCACGTGCATCTCAACTAGTAAAAATAAAAATCTTTGGTTTCCTATCAAACTCCACGAAATCGAAACGAGTCACGTAGATTTTGGATGGCGAACTAATATCCGCTGTTGGTGACGGATACCTGATTCCGAGATCTCCATCCTCGTCAACGTTTCCACCGTGCCAGCCACGTGCAAATATTAACACCCGCGAACGCGGTGACGGAAGTGCCTTTCATATTTACTCTACTAAACGGTTCCTGCGGCCCACCAGAACACCAACCCCCACCTCTCCTTATAAAACGACCTTCGGACATCTTCCCACATTAACGGAGCCCAATAAACCAATTGAAAAAAAAAATATGGGGAGCCTGGCGGAGGACCGTAAGGAGAGCTCACCGGTGGTGACGGGACGCAGGCCGAGAGTCCTCTGCCTCCACGGGTTCCGAACGAGCGGCGAGATTATGAAGAAGCAAATTCTCGGCAAGTGGCCGGATCAGGTCACCGCCCGGTTCGATCTTGTCTTCGCCGATGCGCCGTTTCCCGCCGAGGGGAAGTCCGACGTTGACGGCATCTTCGACCCTCCGTACTACGAGTGGTTCCAATTTGACAAGGTAGCCCTAATTACCTCTGTACCCCTGTTTTTTTATTTTCTGGTTATTTGTACCTTAATAAGATTTTAATATTTTGAATTAGCCCCTTATTCCTTTGAAATTGCTGTTAAGTCCTCCAGGACCAATACTCATATCTTGATATTGGGGAGGATTAATTTGGACCCAATATCAATTGTAATGGTCTAAAGGACTAAGGTTAACTATTTAAGAGGCTAATAATGGTGGGAAAAAACCCCGTTTTCCTTGTTTTTTTTTGTTTTGAAAAAATTTGATTCGACGTTTTGGGGCTTTTTTTAGGAGTTTTTGGAGTATAGGAATTTCGATGAGTGCCTGCAGTACATTGAGGATCTGATGATTAAAGAGGGTCCTTTTGATGGTTTGATGGGTTTCTCTCAGGTATTTTTCCATTGATTAGTTGATTAATTTAATGTACTTGATTGAATTTTTATTATTTATTAATGTGTGGATGAAATGAGCAGGGAGCAATTCTGTCGGCGGCGTTGCCCGGACTTCAAGAAAAGGTCAGTAGCGGAAAATTCTTTGAAAAAGGGATTTATTTCTATTCTTATGGAAAAAATAGATATGAATAAGATCCTCTGTTTTGGGAACTAGACGCCATTATCAATTTACTCTTACCTTTTGCAATTAATAATTGTTTTTATTGGGTTTTTTAACGTAAAATAGGGATTGGCGCTTACAAAGGTGCCGAAGATGAAATACTTGATAATAATCGGTGGAGCAAAGTTTCAGAATCCGGAGGTGGCCAAAAAAGCCTATTCGTCGGAGATCAAATGCCCTTCGGTCCATTTCATCGGTATTTTCATTGTTTCTCTCATTATATTTGGCTACTTGTTTATTTAAGTCAAATGCACAACATTTTTGAAAAGTCAGATTAATCTTTTCTTGATCATTCAAGGAAGTGAGATTTTGACCCATATTCACATAGGAATATCACAAAACCCTTTAACTTTGCACGATTTTCACATGAATCCCCCCACCCCACCCTCCACCTAGGGGTGGCAAACGGGTCGGGTAAGTGTGACCCGACCCGACCCAACCTGTTTAATAAATGGGTCAATGCGATCCAACCCGTTTATTAAACGGGTTACCCGACCCATATAACCCGAATAACCCGTTTATTAAAGCTCATTTCAATGTCGTGGATACTATATCCAACCATCATTTGACAAACTAAAAGACGTTCAAATGGTTTAAATCAGATACCACTGCCTCCTTTTTAAGTACCTGACTGTTCACACACTAAATGAAGAATAATGTACTTGGGGGCGCGGGGGAATACATGTACCAAGATGCAAACTGACATTTTGCATCACTCCTCATCAAGTATCCATTGTTTAAGTCATAAGCCAGCAAAAAGAATTAAAACTTAAAGAAGCAAGCACTAATTCATTTCTCTTTTCTTGAATCAGATATGGCAAAGCAAAATATCACACTTTACAGATACCAAGTGAATAGTTATGTACCTAGGGAACAAGACAGAAATATTCAAGATGCAAATAATATTCTAGGTCAAGTACAAATTGTTATCAATTGCCAAAATAGAACATATACCAAAATGCAAGTCAATATTTGCATAACTCATCAAAAATAAGATTCAATTTCAGGTTTATCAGTTCTTCATCGAACCCGAAATGGCATAGCAAAAGGTACTCTTCAGCAACAATAATACCGATCTGACCTTGAAAGCAAATGCTATCACTCTTGTCCAAGAAACATATTAAACAATCAAATAAGGGGAAAGTCTAATTTCACATTCTTAATGTTTCTTTATTAACAAACTCCACCAATTCACATAAATAAAAAAATAGTGACATCTATGTTCATTATCTTTGATAGATCAGATAACCTATTTCCTCACCGAAGCAGGACCCAGTTAAATTAAATTTGGCAGGCAAAGAAGGAGAAAGCCTTGATCTTTATGAACTCTTGGAAGTAAAAATATGAAAAGAAAACAAAACCTATTCTTTCAGACTTAATGGATACATATGCTAGCTATTAACATAATTGAATGAATTCTACATTACTATTTAGCCATAATATAGATATATGCATTTTATGTGTCGAAGTTGCACTGTGGCAATGTGATCAAAGTATTTAAGGTTCATTTATTATAGGTGAGACTGTCAATTTCTAATTTTCCTGTTTTCCAATCCACTTATTGTCCTTCAACTTTAGCAATGCATCATGTGTAGTTTATGGCTACATGTCAATTTAAATGACTTGCAATGTTAACCTAGAAATGTTTTAAGTTCATGGAATTAGAAGTGAGTGACTGACTTCGTGTGAATGAGAAAAATCTACGAGTATATCTTCACAGTGCTCTATTATGGTTACTCTTGTTTTCATTTGTGGGTATACATAGTCCTTACCAATAACAATCGGGAAACTTTCACTATCAATTCAGAGTTCTAATCAGACCATCTAATTATTATTATTTGGTCATTTGAGCAAAATATTTGAAAGTTGCCTTTTTCTTTATATTAAGATAATTCTGTGCAAGCTTATATTTTTTATCTCTATACACAATCTTATCCAATATGTTGATTTGCATTATCACGTGGAATTAAGTAGAAAGGATTGATGGTTAACAGTCATACTTACCATGCTCTAACAATAACAATGCCCAAAGGCCTCAAACTTTCATGATAAATTAGGATGTTCAACTGCATCACCTGAACTTTTATATCGTTCCAACATAGAAATTGAAAATTATCTTCTTGTACCTTCTGTCTTTTGGATCAACATACATGTCTGCCGTTAATCATCATTTTATTGATCAATAAATCTACTCTTTCTGGTTTTAGGTGACAATGATTTTTTAAGGAAGCACGGAGAAGCCCTTGTAGAAGAATTTGTCGATCCTACTATTATCCGCCACCCCAAGGGCCACACTGTCCCCAGGCTTGGTATGTTTCTTTTTATCATCTCTGCCTTTTCTTTTAAATAATTGCTGAACAAAGAGATCTGGTCTGAAAATATGGGTTAATTGCAGAGAGCCCTCTTGTACTGTGGTCCAATTGTGGATTGACCATCGTAGTTCTATTGTTGCAGATAGTCCTCCGTGTGAATTTTTTTTATTTGTTTATCCTCAAAGAAAGGCAAATATTTTCTTTTGATCTCCTGAGTGTATGAGTCAAAAGAATATTCACTCGGGGTGTTTATCCGCAATTGGGCGATAAAACAGTAGATCTACCCACGAGAATAGAACTACAAGGAGCCTATTTGCAATTGGGCGATGGTAAAGGGGTCTATCCACAACTGACCCTAATATTATTCAGTTGGTAAAAGGGCAACATAATTTTGAAGTTAATTGCTGTGGCTGCCCTATTTCACTCTTCACATCTGAACTGTTGGTCTTATATAAACTAGCAAAATTTCAGAAGTCTGTTTACAGTTTCGTGTTGGTAAAAGCTAGCTAAAGTTTTTCCTAATCTATTTCAGATGATAAAAGTCTGGAGTTAATGCTGGGTTATTTACAGAAGATTGAAGAGGATCTGCACTAAGAGGAACATATGTTCTAAATTTTTTTCCTTTTGTAGACTCCCGTGAAGGGTATCCAATTTGTAAGTTGATGTAAGTTTCAATTTACCAGAAATACCTGTGAATTAGCCCAAACATATTTGTTACATTTGAAAATTTTGTTGTCAAACTAGCATGTGAATTTAGAAGTTCAAATAGAGGTCATGTTCAGTGCAGATGAGGAATACCTCTTTGTTCCGCCTTAACATTCCTCCATTATTCTATATTCTTTATATTGCTGCTCTGAATTAGTCAGTTTTATATGAAGCATTCCTTTATGCTGTTTTTAGGTAAGAAAGCAGATTTTCCATTACCAAAATGTAGCAAAGAAGGAGAACATACTCTCTGTACACTCAGAGCACTGTTTTCAAAGGCGCGCGCCTCATTGCGCCTTATACGCCCTACGATGCGGAGTGAAACGCCCTGCATCTGATGCAACAACGCCTTTTGCGCATCACAAGTGACCTATGCTTCACGTAGGGTGCATGCTGCATTATATACTATTGTTCTTTAACATTTCAATCGGGCCTTTATACTCGACGACTCATATCCCAAAAAGCAACATAAAACCGTTAGGCCGATATAGTAGCTCAATTGAGGACCATAAGTTCGCTTCAATATTAGTCTTGATTTGACTTTTGATTTTATGAACTTCGCTCTACGTTGGATGTGTTAGCATAAGAGATTGAGACCTTATTTTGTGATTTCCATAGTAGATACTATTTATCTTGACATATTTTTATGTGAATATATAAAAACATGCTCTTTCACGTTTGATAACCATCTTGAAGAACTATGTGTCTGTTGTGTGCCTCGCTTCACTTAGGCACGAGCATCATATTGCACCTTGCGCATGTACGTGTGAAGAGACCTTGCGTACTGCATTGCACATTGATAACTGATAACACTGACTCAGAGTCCTTCACATAACATAGGACAGGACTCAAAACTTAGTAAAAGAGGAAAACAAACAAAGAACCATAAAGAAAAAAAGAAAAAAAAAACTTATGCAAGTGTATCTTTATGTGCCATGTACAGACTGAAAACAGACAGTATCATAAACTCTTTACAGACTCAAAAACAGGGTAAATACACATTGTCTTGCACCACTTCCTATTAGTAGCAGTATTTTTCATCCTCACCACTTTAGCACATTGAATTTTAACTTCAAAAACGACTTGCTAATATATTTCTTCTAAGCAAAACAATTTTTTCTGCAAAATCAGCATATTTCTAGCATTCCAAGTGTGATATACGCATGCAGCAACCGTAGCCCTCTTGATTCCCCTGATGCAGTTGCTCCCCTTTCAAGCTGAGATCGCCCAAGGTAAGATGTCTTGCCACCTATAGGGAGGCTTAGTTTCCTGCAGAAAAGCTATCACCAGCCCCCACAGTTGTAGACTGAAGCTACACTGAAAGAATAAATGGTCTCTGCTTTCAATAATCACACCACATAGAGCACATGAGTTTATCTTCTAGCACCCTAATATGTTGCAACCTGATTTTTGTAGGCAATCTATCATGACAGGCCAACCAAGCTGCAAAAATATGTTTTAGGAATAGAGTATCCATTCCACACACAACATGAGCCCACTGTTTTTTCTCAATTTCACCTAGGATTACTTGATACGTTGCAGAGGAGCTAAACTCTGGGTTAGGCCCGGTCCAATATAAATAACCACTGCTATAAGATATACATAACAACGTCTCAGCTTAAAAATTCTCTTAAAAACCCAAGGGAAATGAGGTTTTATATCAATATATCCCACAAAGAACTCTCTATGATATAGTAATCATGCACCCATCTCACCCAGAGAGTATTCACAACCAAATATTTATTCAAAGAAAATAAATGCTGAAGACCAAGTGCCCCACGAGTTTTAGTTTTGCATACCTGAGTCCAGGCCTCTTTTGCTTTGATGTGTTGAAAATAAGACCCAGTTCATAAGTAATCCGTGCACAATTGTTCCACTACATGTATTACCCCCTTAGGCAAGAGGAATATGCTCCCCAAATAAGCATGCATACTATAAATGATAGATTCATAAGTTGCAATCTGCTAGTATACTGGCAGTCCAGCGTTTAACTTTAAGTCCAGCTTTTAACTTTAGAGAGAATTCTCTCAATCAGTAAAGCACAATCAGTAGAGGGAGCCCTTTGGATGAAAGAGGAATGTCCAAGTATTTTACGAGGAGAACCCCTTCAGCGAAGTCCAAGTGTTGCAAGATCAGATTTCTGATAATACTAGATACCCTTCCAAAAACACTTGATTCTTAGACAAGTTTACACAGAGCCCAAATACTTGAGAGAAGTGAGAGAGTCTTAAAGAAGGTTGCTCAATAGGGCTTATATCCCCTTTACAAAATAGCATCATGTCATCAGTAAAGCAAAGGTGGGTGATCTTATTTTTCCTACATTTAGAATGAAAATGAAAATCTTTCACTTCCCCCAAGTCAGATAAGCTCCTACTGAGATACTTCATCACAATGATAAAAAGGTAGGTGGAGATAAGATCCCCTTGTCTTATGCCTTTTTTCCCTGGAATAATTTACTAGGTTGGCCATTTACCAAAATGGTGTAAGATACAGTTTTCACACGCTCCATGATCCAATTGATGAATTTAAGAGGAAATTTCAGACCCTAAATCACATCAGCAATAAATTGTCAATTGACAGAGTCATACGCTCTTCGCAGATCAAATTTTAAGGTACACCTAGGAGAAATGTTCTTTCTCCCATACATGTGAACCAGTTCGTGGGCCATCAGAACATTATGAACAATGCTTCTATTTTTAATAAAGGCCCCTTGGTTTTCACTCACAAGATAGGTCATCACTCTTTTGAGTCTATTAGTTAGCACATTTGAAATACATTTGTGCATAATATTGCAACATGTAATAGGTCTATAATGAGATGCATTATTGGGACAACGAGACTTAGGGACAAGAGCAATAGATGTAGAGTTCAAAGATTTAAGCATTATGCCATACCTGAAGAAGTCACCAACTACATAGACAATATCAGCTCCAATTATATCTCAAGAGTCCTTATAGAATTTTGAAGTGAATCCATCACGTCCTGGACTTTTTTTCACATTGATTTGAAACATGGCAACTTTGATTTCAGTTGTAAAAAACTGGCCTACAAAACTTAATGCGTTGGCACCATTGATAAGAGGGCCTCTTGACAATATTGACATCAGAGGAGGTTGGCAAGGGGTATCCATACACAGAATATTACCATAGCATACTCACCAATTCTTCCTGAATATCCTACCGCTTTGTAAGCTGGACCCCCTAAGAGTTAGAAATAGATAGAATATAATTCCTCATTCTTTTTTGCTTGATAGAGGCATGGAAGAAAGCAAAATTGCTATCACCAAGGTTTAGCTAATTCACTCTAGCTTTTTGTTGGAGAAACATAGATTCATGTTTGAGAATTAGGAGAAATTGTTCCATAACATCACTTTCATGTGCAATCAAACTAGCATTTGTTGGATCATTATAGATATCAATCTGAGCCTGAAATAAGGCCTCTCTAGCCTTTTTTGACTCTACCAGAGATCCCTCCAAAGAATTGAGCATCGAAGCTTTTTAGCTGAGCTTTAACTAACTTTAGTTTATGCACAACTCTAAACATAGGTGAACCTTGTATCTGCTTCCTCCAAGCATAACAAACAACCCCTTTAAATTTGGGGTGCTCACTCCAAAAGTTAAAGTATTTAAAAGATGATCTCATATTAACAGGAGTATGAAAAGAAATCAAGCCAGGAATCATTAACCAAGACTCTATCAAGTTTGCAAAACACCTGTTTGTTAGATCAAGTATGGAAACACCCTTTAAACTTCATATCTATCAGTTTAGCATCACTGATAAATCCTTGCAGTTCCAGGAGCTCATTTCTAGAGACACTTCTCCCTTGGATTCTCTCCTCAATATCAAAGAGACAGTTAAAATCACCTAGCACAACCCATGGCAGAAGATCCAATGGACCTAAGATTTTTCCAAAAGGCTGGTTCTTTGGTTGACTTGATTGTAACCATAAATGAATGAAGCAAGGAAAGAAGATGAGGTGCTCCTATCCTCAACAAGACAATGGATCAGCTGAGAGTTAATAAGCAGGCGTTGAACATTTATGATTGAAGCATCCCAGAGTACCATAATTCTACCATGCACATCATTATCAAAATTATGCAAGAAACTCCAGTTAGGAGCACACTTATTGGCAACAACAAAAGCAAGAGTAGATTATATTTTTGTTTCTAAAAGATCAAAAAGAGAAATATTATGTACATTAAGAAAATTCTTAACCTCTTTCCGCTTATTAGGGTGGTTAAGGCCTTTAATATTCCAGCATCCAAAAGCTTTCATCCAGGTTGGGATGAACTACTTCTGCCCTTTACATTCATCTACCCCTGACATTTGAGTTAGATGGAAGAATGTGGGCACTTTTTCTTATTATACGCAGCTTTTTGAGAGAGATCAACAAATATATAAATCCCATTATCATCATGGACAGAAAGAGGTGTCAAAACATTATTAATAACAACCCCAGAAGTCACAGGAGGACTGTGACTCACATGAGAATCAGACCTCCCCTCAATAGATTTAGACACAAAAAAATTCCTACTCCTAACATGTTACCAATCAGTAGAATCCTCAAGAGGTGGGCTCTTATCTACATTGTTGGCTACGTCAGCACCAATTCCCACAGGCAAGACCTTAGGAACCCAGGCCTTTTCAGTGCCTTTCTTTTAAATGCATTTATCAAGTTTATGCCCAAATACCTTACAAATGAGTACACCTAGGAGGTAGCCACTCATGTTCCACCCTCTAGTCAAATTCTCTGCCACTAGGACCTTTAATTTTTAGAGATTGTGGTGGCTCAAATTTTGCTTGTATCTCTGTACAAACACGAGCATAAGAGATTCTATCTCTGTACAGCAAGAAGGGGTATCATGCACCAAAAATCGCCCAGAGCTCTACCCATCTTTCTTTGAGTAATATTCGGTGTCTTTTCTTTAGGGCAATACGTTCCTTTCTGCTGTTATTCTATCGAAAACCTTTTTTTTTCCTTTTTGTGGCAGCAAAAATGAGGGGGAAATTTTTCCTCGAGGGGCATTTCTCCTTTTATATTGTACCTACACATTCTTTGGGGTTGATTGCATGAAGGACGCGCTCATGCTTTGACTTGACTTTTTTGGGTTGTGTTCCACCCAGAATTTTAGATTGTTTGTTTGAATAAGCCCCATGAATGTGTAATCAGGATTGCATAAAAGTTGACTTACTGTATGCTTACTAATTTGTTTTGGCTTCTAATATCCATGTTCTTTTCAGAGGTCAATCAATTGTATTTGATAAGCAATATCACTAGAAACGATTAATCAACCATCACTACGACAAAGCTTTACTGTAGTAAAAACATTCCAATATAGTTTTAGCTATTTAGATTCAAATCCAACTAGACATATTTAAAGTGGATTTAGAAGAAGACTAACTGCATAAGACATCTTAGGTTTCCGTCCACAAGAAGAATGTTCAACTTACAGGTAGAAGTTTATTCTTATTCATTGTCACTCATAAAACAAAATTAACCAACCCTAAGCAACCTGAGACATTGATAATGATCCATTTGAGGGTACACTAACATGTTGTTGGAGGTCAGGATTTATTGGCAGCATCTCACATTGAGCTAAATGCGCCATCAATTGATCCACCAAAACTAATGCTACCATTGATTCTACCACTGGAACAGCTGCATCATAAATAGTAAGTTGATATCAATTAAAACTAATCAAACTAATTAACAAAAAAATTGATTGGAAAGCAAATTATTTGGAATTGGAGATCAACCTCTTGGGGCAACACAGGGATCATGACGGCCCCTTACTATAAGTTCAGTCTCATGACCATCCCTGGTCACTGTTTTCTGCTTCTTCTGTAACAAAATAAAAATAAAAATCAATCGATTGTCAAATTCAGTTCTGAAGATTAAAATTATAATATAAAGATACCCCAGTGGTGAATTCGCTTTCTTATCTATAATTGAATTACTATCTATAAGAAAACTATTTGATAATGGAGGAATCATATTGTGCATAAAAAATAAGCTTACACAAATTGTAGGGGTTGGCTTAAAAGCTACTCTCATGTGTATGATTTCCCCATTAGATATACCTCCCTACAAAAAGAAAACCAAATTTTAGAGGAAAAGAGTTTAAACGTAGAATTAAGCCAGAAATATCCAATAATGAGGGATAAGAGAAACCAAATCTTTCATCTTAACGAATTTAATACAAAATCCGAAAACAGAAAAAGACTTCACCAAAAATTAAATTGTATGTTGCGAACTGCAATGTATTCAACCTAACGTTAATTCTTAACACGGAGATCATATTGAAAGACGGAATGAGGGAGCAAATACAGGTATTTGAAATTTCATAATGATGAGGTTTGAACTCATTTTGAAATATGTGAAGTAAAAATATATATCAAACTAACATTAATTCTTAATAGAATTCGACCTGAATGCCCCCTGAACGGTTTGTTCTGGTTCGAATGCTTCCACTTGGGTCAGTGTAGAACTCATCATTATGCTCACTCCCCATCAAAAATGTACCTACAGAGATTGGCATCAGCTACCAGTCATAATGATTAAATTCTTGATATATTTGATCTTTAAATATAAGTATGTTCTCATTTATGCGCCTTAATTTGTTTTACCTGCAAATCCACTGCCGAATTCAAATCCTATGCTTGCAGGAAGTGATAAGACAGCCTTTGCCAGATTAGCTTCAAGCTTATCAAACACTGGAGAACCAAGCCCCTGATATAATATATGCCAACATGACAATTGCACGATTTATATTAATAAAGTTAATTAGAAAATAAGTGGAGTCAGATATAACGGTAATATCTGAAAACATGAAAATTTGTAACAATACACATCATGGTTTCAAATTTTGTAGCATATTCCTGTTGCTAATTTGTAATAGTACTAGTGCATATATTGACCATACAATAAAATAATCAACTTGTTAAATGACTTGGATCTATTAGGTTTGTGAACCTTAGTTATGTTATTCTACGGTTTACAGTAACAAACATTACAAATTATAGCTTGCACATTCACCATGAACTATCCATTCTCTAGATATATTCTACTGTAAAATTGAAAGATACATCCCTTGTATTACGGTGGTCTAGACATTTATATATAGCTCCTTAAATTACTTTATTAGCATTTACGCACACAATCCTACTTTTTCTCTCAACTCATAGCGTGTTTATTATTTTCTCATCATTACCGTATGACATCTCAACCAAATGTGAGAAACAATGTTGTTTGAACTTCAAAAGGTGTTAGTGCTGATAACATAGTTTATGAGGTGAAGTATCTAAATCTTATAGTGTAGTTCGGAGCTTGTGTTTGTAATCCTCACCCGCGGGACATTTCTTGCAATGCAAGTAACAACACCACCCACTGAGTCTCCTTGTACACGAACAGCATCAACAGCATCGATCATCTTCTGAGCATACTCGGCATTTGGGCACCGAACCATATTACTTTCTACCTGGACGATATCAATAGAAATTATTCTTACCAGAAATAAAAGAAGAAACTAAAGCCCTTACAGGTTTTAGAGGATGCATGCATTTGGATACCTGATCATAGGTTACGGTTTCATTATCCACCATTCCTTCAGGAAGTACAACTTTATGCACTTGAGAAACATATGCCAGGATCTGATAAGTATCAATAAATAGTTATACACATAGCATACTGAGATAGACCTATTATATAAAACAAGATTGAACAGAGGCATTGTCGTGCAAATTTTGGAAAATGAAATTCATGGGTTTCCACATGTATCCATAAATTGTTATACACATAGCATACTGAGATAGACCTATTATATAAAACAAGATTGAACAGAGGCGTTGTCGCGCAAATTTTTGAAAATGAAATTCATGGGTTTCTCAAAAAAAAATGTTTGCTTGTTCGATCTTTTTATAGCTTCATGTCCAAAAGTTGATAATTTGTTTACCTTTTGGCATATATCAACTATGTTGGCACTTTTGATACTTTTACTGTCTAAAACAATAGAATGTAATATATTCGATTACAAGTATATATTCACTTAATTGTCTCACTTCAGTTCCTGACTTTATCTGCAGAATTTTCTTTGCAACAGCACCAGCTGCTACTCTTCCTATGGTTTCTCTCGCAGACGATCTTCCTCCTCCCTGCATTATAATGCCAATTTCCATCTTACTTAAATAACCGTAAGATTAATAATTCAAGTAAAAGCTATTTGCTGGTAAAGGAATTGAACATACCTCTACTGATCTCAAACCATATTTAAAATCATACGTTGCATCTGCATGAGAAGGCCTATATGCTTTTGACATTTCAGTGTAGTCCTGCAAAGGTTCATCGAAAATAGCATCAAGAATCAGAAGGGGTATAAGCCAAAAATTGATAGCAACAACAATAACAACAACAGAGCTTTTATCCCAAATGTTTGTGGTCGGCTACATGAATTTTACTCTTCCATTTCGTTTTATTATGGGTCATCTCCTCTTTTAAGTTAACCATTATCATTCTTCTTAATTGCTTCTAATTAAGTTCTTTCAGGTCTATCTCTAGATCTCATTGCAACGTTAACTACAATATTATCAGTTTTCTTAATAGGTGCACTGAGTAAAAAAAGCCAAATCGACAAATAGCATGATAGCGAAACTGAATTTTGAATTGATATTAATGTGATATATACTAGTGTTACACCGTAAAATGAAGCATAAATAAACAAAGATACTTATCTACTTCTAAGAGTAAAAGTAAAAATACGGTAAATATCCCCTACCCCTGCTCATTTGTATTGAGCGTTAAGAAGATTTTTAATATTTCTATTTTTTTCCCATAAGACTCTCAAAGTACAAAGTGCAAACCAGTATTGATCTCAATATGATGAATTAGTCATAGTTTTTTTGGGGTACTAACTTGTCCTCTTTGAGCTGTGTTTGGTACAAAAACATGAATAGGAGTCCCTGTAGTCATTCCTGGAGTAAATATTTAAGAATGAATCAATTTGCTTGATTGAATGATGCCAATTCACACTCACTGGTAACAGAAAAATGCATTACTCCAAACTTAATGAGGAAACTAGAATTATCCTACCTTCAGAAATTCCAGAAAGGATTTGGCATTTATCGGTCTCCTTCCTTGGACTAGTCATTCTGCTCTGACCTGGCCTCCTAGCATCGAAGGGGGGGAAAGTAAAAAAAAAAAAAAAAGAAATCTTTGATTAAATAAGCAAAATTTAGCACTTTTACATATAATATTCCTTTTTTTACTTGTTTGTTTTTGTAGATGTAACGAAGGAAATTTCCACAATTGGATTTGATCTACCCAAATATTTAGAAATAAAATCATGAATCAGCTCTGTAGGTGTTTTAACCATGTATTATGTGATCAATTATTTTGTTCTTTGATACTTATTTAAAACATTTCAGAGTCATAGGGGTTCTTATCCCTAGGCTCTAGCTAGTTGATGTGTGGTACATCAAATCCAAAGGCACGAAATTGCAAGCTGCAGAGAAAAAAATTTAAATTTGGATTGGTAAAATAGGTTAATTGCGTATAGACCCTATGTAACTGTTTTGCATTTACCATCCATGTAATTTCATCGTTGCATATTTATTCTGTGGGTTAAAATTTTATTTACTCTTCTTCCCTCAAATAAACTCACTAGGCAATATCTGCCAAAATTTCACCAAAGATAACAGGGCGAGAAAAAAATTAACCTAGGAAGTCTATTCGCAACAATGAAACTACAGGGGCCGTAAGCGAATAATAGGGATGCTACAGGGGTCTATGCGCAAATTAATTCATGATAAAAATATTGTGTTCATTTACCTTCTATCAAGCTCAGCTTGCATATCAGCTTCAGAGAGGAGGATCCTTGGTGGGCAGCCACTGATGATACAACCAATTCCTCCTCCATGAGACTCCCCGTAAGTTGCAACTTGAAAATAATCTCCAAATACATTCCCTGTTGCCTCAACCTCTGCTTTTTATTAATAGCACAAATGCATGTAAAGTACAAAATTCACATTAATACTTACTTAACTTGAAGTTTATTCTACACACTTTTTTACTTAACTCCTAAATCATTACAAAATCTCATGAATGAGGTTAACATGTAATAATTTAGAATCATGACGAATAAAAAACTTGAGATGAAAATTTTGAATGGAGAGCGTTCATGCGGAAGAAAAAGACACAACAATCGAGTCACATTTTTTAACTTAATTATTTTACACGTTAACAATGTGTGCGAGACATTCCGGTAGTCCATAGGAATTTGGTATAACTTTGAAACTTCAAGAAGTCATTCTTTGACCTATAAATTTCTTCCGGGTTGTCTGCAGAAACCCCCCAAAGTTCAAGGGGTTTTTGTGAATTTGAACCTTCTTTCACGCTATGACACTGCTAGCCAGCGCTTGAGATTCTTTCTTGAGAAAAGAAAAAGCAAACTGATTTGGCTACATACATATGCAAAATAAAAATGACCAATGATGGAAAAGAGTAAGTGAGAGGGCTTGACTTAAGCTTCGACGACGATGAGGAATGCATCTCCGCCGTTGAACGGAGATTGAAAAGCCAGCGGTGGTGGATACTTTCAGTGAAGAGAAAGAAGACATAAACATCGTCATGATCACTCACTCACTCTTCCTTTTTCCCCCCTCCCTTAAAATAACCGATGATGGAAGCAGTGGACCAGTGGTTGTGGTTGAATGGTCGCCTAACTTTAATACTATGTTTGGGTGGAGGGTAGAGGATGGAAGGGGGAGGGAAATTTAGATTTAACATTGTTTGTGAGTTTTATTAGGAGGGTAGAGGAGGGGAAGTTAGAAAAATTTTACGCTAAAATCTTACCCTCCAAATTGGCGGTAAATGAGGGGAAGGGAAGGGAAGGAAAACTTTAATCTTCCTTTCCTTCCATCTATGAAGCACGGACACGCATACATGAAGCCGTGTCGTGTCATGTCCGTGTCAGACACACGTGTCGAACACACGTATCCTATGTATTTTTTAGGATTTGCCTCGTGTCGGCGTGTCGGATGGCCGTGTCGGATCCGTGTACGTGCTACATAGCCTTCCATTCCCTTATGCTGTATTTGGGAGCTCACCAAGGAAAGGAAACAAAATGAAGGGAACTTGTTAAAATTTCCTTCTGCTCTTTTACCTCCCAATTTGGGGTGTAAGATTTTAGTATAAAATTTTCCCTCATTTTTCTCCTCTGCACTCCTCATAAAATTCCTAAACAAGGTTAAACTCAATTTTTTCTTTCACTTTTCTTCTCTATTAGTGATCTTCCAAACAGGCCATAAAGAGGAAAAAAAAGCCACGCGTACAAGGGAAACAAATTTTATATGCCTTAAAAAAACGACGACTAATTTTGTTCACCGCATTGGTAACTTAATTCGCTGGCTTCGTTCTTGAGTATTTTACTATTTTATTGCCATCTCAAGACCGAATAAAATAGGAGAGTTATGTAGTAGCTGATTTAGGTGAAATGAATCTTAAAAAAATCCCACTAATTTAAAATAATTATGAAGGAGTGTGACACTACCTCATATCGGGAAAAAAAATCTAAATGTAACTCTCTTTTAGTGGATAACTTGTAATGATGTATACATTGACATTCATGTTTAAATAAGGAAAATGCTAGAGTCACTATCCAACCACAAACTCAACCACAACTCTCTCTCTCTCTACGCTGTAATGGGGCACACACTTAATTTTAAAAAAAAATCAAGTGAAAAAATTAAGTGTGTGCCCCATTACACCGTAGAGAGAGAGAGTTGTGGTTGAGTTTATGGTTGGGATTGTGCATGTAACACTGCCCTTTAAGGGGCTGTTTGGTTCTCTGTTTTTAAGGAAAAGTTTATCTTGAAAGCCTGTCAAAAGTGTCACTTTTTGACAGGCTTTCAGCCAAAATCTTCTTTTTTAGAGATAATTTGGGCTGAAAGCCTGCCAAAAAGTGACACTTTGACATGCTTTTAAGAGAAAAAAATTCTAACAAAACAACCCCTAAGACTATCTCCATCAGGAGTCGAAATTTTAACCTTCTCTCTTCTGCCACATCACTTTATTCCCTCTCCACATAATTCAACAATCTTCATTTTCTATCATCTCTACAGCAGGAGTTTTTTCAAAAGATTTTTACTTTATTTGGGACCCACTATAACCCCATCACTCCAACATATATACCCCACCTTATTTATTCATTTCTTTTTCTTATTTCATATATATTACTACTACTACTATTATTATTACTAATATAACTCATTTATTTATAATTATAATTTTTTAATATTTACATAAATAATATATATTATTAATTTAATTTTTGATAATATTTTTATATTAACAAAAAAACACACGATTTTATTAAGCATACGGAAAAGTCAAACACACACAAATTATTGAAAACATTAAAGAAAACACACATTAAATTGGTAAAACTAATCAGAGGTTGTTCTAAATTTCTGCCAAATGTGCTCGATGAGATCCTTTTTCAACTGAATATGTTGGCTCCTATCTCGTAGTTCGGCTCTAGTATGATTATCCGATCCGGATCGGTCTCGAACATGGACTTGAAACTCAGGCAATACGTCTGTTTGAACACTGGAAGAGGCGGAAGAGCTAGGATTGTTTGACGGTTCAAAGTCGATATTTTCCCAGTTTCGCGAATACGAATCTCGTTCATCTTCCACTATCATGTTATGTAAAATAATGCACGCCCTCATTATTTCATCTTCCACTATCATGTTTGAAGAATATAGAAGCAAAAGCAAAGAGAAGGAGAATAAGGTGTTGAAAACTCAGATTTTTTTTTGTCTCCAAATTACACAAGACTAATCTCTATTTATAGAGGTGAAAAAATAAAAATTATTGATATAAAAATTATAAATTAATTCCTAGTATTTATCTCCCAAAATATCATTTAAAAGTTAGGAGTAAAACAAAAAAACCTAACCAATCAAGCATTGACACATGACTCTCTTTAATTGTTGATTTAATGTTGCGGGACCCACATGGAGAGAAAAACCGGAGGTGAAAATTTCACCCATTGGCCTCCGGTTTTCCATTTCACCCCCTTTGAAAGCCACCCGTTGGAGCAAATAAACCCCAAATATCTCCTGTTGGAGATAGTCTAAATAAATATCTGACAATGGCCTCGTGCGTGATTCAGAGTCAGTCGACATTCATGTTTAAATAACAATAATCATCTGACAAGGCCTCGTGCGTGATTCAGAGTCAGTCAGAGCTTTCAAGCTAGTGATGGAGAGGAGGAGAGCGAGAGAGAGAGCTCTTCTAGAGATTGAGACATTAATTGACTATTAGATTTTTGGGTCATGGGGAGAAGAATTACGGGGATACGCTCGTCATCATTGGTCCATCAATAATTGATTGAAATTGTGGAGGATTGTAAGTTCGCAATAGGTGTCAAGTGCTTGCAATGAAAATAGTGTCTTTATTTTGAACTTATTACCCTTTTAGTTTTATTTTTGCAAGGAAACTCATTCAATAAGCATTTTCTAACTCTTTTACTCTCGGGAGAGCATTTATCAAGAAATAATTCTCTCTCAAAGGTAAAAAAACTAGTTTTTTTTAAAAATTCACTCAGGAGATCTATCCAGGGAAAATAATGTTGGGATTTTACACCGAAACCCCTAAAACAGCAGAAACACAATATAGAGAAAATACACCAAGATTTAACGAGGTTCGGCAACTGCCTACGTCCTCGGGAGCCACACAATAAATTTTTTATTAATCAACAAGAAATTACAAAGCTTGGAGCAGATCTCAAACTTAAGATCTCTCAATAAATACAAATCAACACTGTAGCTATAGTGTTAATTCCCTTCTTAAATACCCCTCCTTAATTCTCTCTTTTATTCACCCCTCCCCCGCCACAATAATCATTCCCCCTTTATTCTTGAGATTCCTCCCTCCAAAATCAACGTGAGCATGAGAGAAAGAAGAAATCACAGAGCGACCTCAGAAGAGAAATGAAGTAGAAGAAGTCAGACTTCGCCGCCGCCAAAGAAAAATCAGCGAAGCAGCTACGAAGGCCTGTCGCAGCCGATCAACGCCTCTGGGTTCCTTTTATAAGGGCAACCCCAATAACGGCGCCCAGGGGCTTGTGGGGCGAGCCTCGATCTCGCCTGCAAAGTTCTCGTCCTCGCTTGTTCCAACCCGTCGAGCTCGCCTGAGCTTCGATCACGAGCTCGACTGCGCGGTCCTCGCCTGACACACGCTCGAGTTCGCCTGAAAATCCTCGTCAACCTCGCTTGTAGCTGCGTCGACGAGCTCGCCTGACCTCGCCTGAAATTAGAACTCAAGCTCGCCTGCACCAGATCTTGAGCCTTGAGCTCACCTGTGTCGTCCCCAAAGCTCGCCTGCGGAGGTTTGTATCCACACCCATTTCTAACAAAAAAGATAGTGAGTTTAAATGAGCGAGGTTCTATCCACAGTTAACCCTAACATGAAAATGAAAATCGATTTGAGTTTCTGCCAAGCTCTCTAATAAAGGATGAGGGTTGCGATAACTAGACGATAATCAGCGTAAAACATAGTTATCGACATGAAAAATAAATACTATAATATACACATTGTTGTAGGCATCGAAAATTGCCTATAGGTCTCCACGAACAGCTCAGTGTTAAGGAACGACAATGAACGTCACTATCTGGTTCACAGGAGTTCAATTGACGTCGGTGAACGTTTGAAGTGAATCGACGAACTACGTGAACTGACAAAATTTCGGAATAACGAAGGCACAGGCTAATCGAGAGCCCCGCGATGTTTACAAAAAGAACAACACCTTTCGTGTCTCGTTCGTTCTACAGATAATCCAACCATCGGGCTGATAGAACTCTTCGTCAGAATTCCAACACAATTCGAATCACTAAAATCCGAGTTCGGACGAAGAATTTACAGCGGAGTGTCTCGGATTTTTTGGAGACACCCCAGGGGCGTCCTAGATTTTTGGGGACGCCCCAGGGGCGTCCTAGATTTTTGGGTACGCCCCAGGGGCGTCCTAGATTTTTGGGGACGCCCCAGGGGCGTCCTAGATTTTTGGGGACACCCTAGGGGCGTCCTAGATTTTTGAGGACACCCCAGGGGTGTCGCCTATAAATAGAAGCCTTAGGCCTCACTTTTTTTGAGGACACCCCAGGGGTGTCGCCTATAAATAGAAGCCTTAGGCCTCACTTTTTGGGGATCTGGAATTTTGGAGAAGAGGCGAAGCCCTGCCGGAGCGAAGAGTGATCGAGCACTTCAACACAAGAGGGTTCTTCATCAGATCTACATCACCCGCATCCGTTCCTTAGCATTACCCCTCATCGGTAATCCTAAGAAGAGCAAATATCTTGCTTTATCCGAGATAGGCGCTTTAAGTTTCTAGATCCCTTCGCGGATAGACGAAGCTCTGCCCAATTTTTCAGCAATCAGATCTGATCGACGGTGGTCCACGGATAAACCCCGGCACAGGCAAAGACACCCACGCAAGCAGAAGACCGATAAACGATCTCTGCGTTTGTTTGATAAAGTTGTAAACTTTTTATTTTCATTGTGTAAGGAGATCTTATAAAAAGATCAACTTTTTATTTTATTCGAGTTTATTGTAACGACTAAAGTTGTAATAGATTCGATAGCAATGAAAACAGCAACTTTCACAGCAAACAAACTGGCGACCACAGTGGGAGCCAACAGCTTCGCAGCCAAAGCTGTCGTGCCGCAGCCGACGATCAAGATCCCGGTGCTCGAAAAGGTCGAATATGAATTCGACCAGCAAAAGTTCGAGGAGTACGTCTCCTCCTCCTCCTCTTCCAGATCCGCCTCTCCTAGCGAGTGCAGGAGTGCCTCCTCCTCTAGAAAGATCTGCTGGCCTTCAGATCTGAAGATCCAAGAAGACGATCTTTCCGCCGCTGTTGTTGTTGCACCTTGCAATGATCCACCGGCGCTCAATGAAGCCAAATTTGCAGATCTGAACTCCTTCACGATTAAGGAGTCGACTGCAGAAGGCGCGCCAACTCTATCAAAGAGAGCACGTCAAAGTAAACGACAACACCTCGCGCGCCAATTCGCCAAGGCTTTGGATCAGATGGATGGTCTCCATTACCAAGCAGATCTGGAGCTCAGAAAGCGCCAAGTGGCTAATCTGTCGCCACGACCAGCATCAGAATCCTCCTCCCGATCTCCAATTAACGGATGGGTTCGTGTCCAAAGAACCCGTTCTACTCTCGAGGAGCGAATCAAGAAGCGTCGAGCATTGCTCGCACATGCCCGAGCCCTTTTGCAGAAAGCGAAAGAAATGCAGAGGGGAGAAGCAGTGGAGAAGCCGCCTAAGCGCAAGCAAGTTTGGGTGCCAAAGACAAAACCAGCACTTAAGGCAAAAGTGGGCGGAGTTATCGTCCAGCCTATTTCAAATCCAGATCATGTTTCCCCTGTACCCGCGCCTCCGACGGAGTCAGGAAAGAACGTGGATCTCACTAAATCCAGGGGTCCTTTGAAGGGTCGCCTCGATCCTGAAGATCGAGGTAAAGCACCCGTCAAGGAGCGATTGGGACCGTTGAAAAGTCCCCAAACAACAGTCAAGACTGGGGGTCGTACTAACAAAGGGAAAGCCCCTATTACCGACCGCATTGGATTGCGAGTCGAAGTTCAAGAGCCCGTTGGACTTTCACGCTCTCAAAGGCGTAAAAGTGAACGAGTGACTCTTGGAGACGCAAATAAAGCGTCGCGTCCCCAGAGGGAAACATATTTGTCTGATGACGATGTTACACCTGGGAAGGCGTGCCAACACTTTATGGGTTGCTCCAGTTATCAAACTGATGAGCTGTACTATAGGGCTAGGGTGCGAATAAATCCCGGAAAAGAAATGTTCGAGACACGGAGCCTCATTGTCCGTGTGCCAACATAATCAAAGCAGTATTATCGGAATGCTGCTGTTCTAAACCCCAAAAAGAGTCTCGGTGTTTGAGAGAATCTCTACCAGGGCGTCTGAGGCCAAACCAAGGCATTTCCAAAGGAGGAAACCCATTCGCCAAGATGATGAATTTCCAGAAGTGTTCGTCAATATGACCGGCAGAAGGAAATCGACGCAACACTTAAACCCAGATCAGTTTGCCGATGTATCCCGGCGTATGACTCGGTTGCGGTCAGGAATCAAAAGATTGCCTTCGGAAGATGAAGAATCGGATTCCTGCTCTGCTGTCGCATCGGACAATACAGTGTCCAGCGAAGGACAACCCCGCGAGTCATTTATGATAAGCGCGGAAGAAATGGCCAAGATGCTTGAAGACGCTTTGGCTAAACAGAAAGAAAGTTTCAAGTTTGAGATGCAGATGGCCATGCAGACTATGAGAGAGATGCATGAGCAACAAATCCAGGCGTTCAGGAACCAACAAGGTGAACCAAGTCACCGTAATCAGGTTGTTCAGGAAGAAGAGCACACGGATAGGGATGGAGCTCACAATGCCAATAACCCTCCCGTCAATGCAGGGGGTGGTAACGAGGATGCCAACGAGGATACAAGTGAAGACTTGAAGATCAAAGATCTCGAGAGCAAAATCAACACATTGATCTCCGCTCAAGAGACGAAGAAAACAGGCATTCCCTGTCCATACCCACGAGAATGGGAATCGATCCCCTATCCGGCGAAGTTCAGTTTAATCAACTTCACGCCGTTCGATGGGAAGGGTTCCCCCACTCAGCATTTGATTTATTTCAAATCGCACCTGGGTATTATTTCCGGCAATGAGCCTCTGATGGTGCGGTCATTCGTCGGCACTCTTCGCGGAGCCGCCTTCGATTGGTACCGCCGCCTCAAGCCAGGAAACGTGAACAGCTGGGATGACATGGAGACCAAGTTCCTGGCCAACTTCTTCGACGACGACACCGAGATATCTATCGGATCATTGCTCGATGAGAAGCAGAAGGACGGGGAGTTAGTCGACACCTTCGTCAAAAGGTTCCGGAACAAGGCGATGAATTGCCGGGACCCGATCACAGAGGAATTCATCCTCCAAACTTGCCACAACAACCTTGCGTTGGACGTGTTGGAAGCAATGGGAACAGCACCGTCTGACACTTGGAAGGATCTGAAGGTGCGCGGTGAACAAGCCGAACGTTTCCTCCGAAGGAAGAAGGCCGAGAGGAACCTACCGACGGCTAATCCTCTGGACTCAAACTTCGCCTCTCGTGGTAAGGGCAAAACACCTGCAGCTACTGGTGGTGCTAATCAAGCGTCACAACAGCAATCCCGAAGGCAGCGAAAGACTTCGGGTCCGAGACTCCAAAGAGAGTATTCCTTCAAGGACGAAGACGTTCCAGCCATCTTCGAATCCCTCCTTGAAGGTAACAAGATCAAGCTACCGCCTATCACAAATCAGGAGGAAGCTGACAACACTACGGACCCAAAGTACTGTGCATACCACAGGAGGGTCGTTCATCCCACCAAGGATTGCTTTGCTCTCAAGAATAGCATTCAGACCTTGGTTGAAGCCGGCGTTATATCGCTCAATTAAGTCAACACCAGACTCCAAAGAGTATACGAGTATAAACTGTTTCTCAATCCTCCAACAGGTGCAAGAGGTTAAACTGTTCCCTGCGTACTCCAATAGGTATATGAGTCTAAACTGTTTCCCACTTTTGACGGGAAGTTCCTAGGGAATATTATGCTAATATTCTTAAGGATAACCCGGTCAGGTAACTGAGAATAATGTCCGAACCAGTTCCGTAGAGGAAGCTGGGGGTGGACGATTCATGTAACGGGAAGTTCCTAGATAATCATATATTCTTAAGGATAACCTGAACATGCGATTGAGGATAACGTACTCCTCGTTACACCCAGTTTTGCAAGAAAGCTGGGGGTGGATAATTCGTGTAACGAGAAGTTCCCAAAAGAATGTTAATATTCTTAGGGATAACCCAATCATTGTAGAAGTGATGAATAAGAAATTCTTGCTCGAATTCAGAACATTGGAACGTTTCTTCTTATTATCAAAATTCTCTAACTCTTATGAGTTATTTTTGTGAGATGAGATCCAATCCTCTGATAGGTTAATCTTTCCTCACCAAACCATCTGCTGATCAAACTAATTGACGGTGGATCCACCAACGTTTCCATCTGCCAGTCATTGGCATTTCTCAGACTCAACATGTTAGGTCCTAATCACCTAGCGTTAAAGTCTTCCTTTGAGTGATAATACGAGTTGGCACTTTCTTTGCTACCTGTATTCCACTTTCTTTGCTTTCAGGTCAAACCTATAAAAGTTAGGACCACAACCAAAGTCCCCTCTCGATTCCCCCCAATGAACGAGAGGTCCACAAATCGAGCGATCAAACCTTCCTACAGTTAGGATTGTCTCAAACCTCCCGATTGGTCAAACCTTCCTACAGTTAGGACCAAAGCCAAAATTCCTCTCTCGATTCCTTCCATGAACGAGAGGTCCACTTTCAATTTGAACAATCAAACCTATAAAAGTTAGGATTGTTCCCAATCTCGCTTAGTCAAGCCTACAAGTAGTTAAGACTAAGACCGAGTCATTCCTTTTCGATAAACGAAAATCCGCCTTTGTTCCTTTTTCCACCAAACCTATAAAAGTTAGGGTCGAAATTGGGCTTTCCCCTTAATAAATGAGGGATTCTTTTGATTCAAATGACCAATCCTATAAAAGTTAGGGCCGTTTGAACTTTTCCGATTCTCGGAGTGAAGATCCCACTCTTAGTTTCATCTTTTCGGATTCTGGGGGTGGAGATCCCACCTTGAGTTTCCTTTCCGACTGTAGATAGAATATAAAATTCTTCCTCTTCAGTCCCGGGAGATAGAATATAAAATTCTTCCTCTCCCGTTTCCCAATCCGTCTTTATTCAGATAAAGGACACAATTTTCAATTTCCAATCCGGGCACTTTATGCACGGGGAATTTTATCTCAACTCCTAAATAGAGATAAGTCTACGCCTAACACGCGTTGCCAGTTTAGTCTTTCACCGATTAAAAAAGACGCCAGGGTCTAAATCTGGGGAATTTTATCCCGAAGCCTAAGTAGGGACGAGTCAACACCTAACACGTGTCGTCGGGTAGCCTATTCCCGTAACAAAGGCGAAGCCTATGTATTCGGCATCATAGCACAAAGTCTCAGAGAATTCACTCTCTCAGCACAACGTTACATGCGGAGCGGATTTAGACAATCTGCATGCTAGCCCGATTCAAACGGTAATCGGTAAAGGCACATCAAACCCGTTGAAGGCTGGGGGTTTGCCAAAAATCCCAAAGTCTATGTCTAACACACATTGCCGATTTAGTCTTTTACCGATTGAAGAAGACACCAGAATCCGAGTCTGGGGATTTTTATCCTGAATCCTAAGTAAGGATAAGTCAGCGCCTAACACGCGTTCTTTTCCCTATAAGAAATGGTGAAGTCTATGTATTCAAAGTCATAGCATTAAGTCTAAGAAAAGCAATTCTCTTAGTACAACGTTACATATGGAACGGATCTAGACAATCCGCATGCTAGCCCGATTCAAACGGTAATCGGTAAAGGCATATCAAACCCGTTGAGGGCTGAGGGTTTGCCAAAAATCCTATAAATTTTATCATTGCTGGGTTCAAAGTAAATAAAGAAATATCATGAAAGAAACAAATGCGGAGTCTCTAGTAATAGATCAAGTCAAAAGCATATAATAAAAAGCTCGTTAGCCCGAAGGCAACTGACGGCTAAGAACATAGGACTCTAAACTAGAAAGCCTATCTACATAGCTCTGCTCAAGTTCTGCCTGCAGACTAGCTCGGACAGAGTCTTCGGAACTGCTTAAGATCTTCGCGGCTTCATTCTTCAGCTTCATCAATCTCTCCTGTGTGGATCCCAGCTTCTCGAGCGTCTGTTCACGAGAACGCTCTAATCCAGCCAGGTCTTCTGCAATAAGAGTAACGGACTCCTCGGCGTGCCTCAAGGCCTCCTTCAATCTAGCCACTTCCTCACGGCCGGAATCCAAAGAGCTGAGTAACTCGGCTCTACCTGTATCCTTCCTCGCCACGGTAGCCATCAGCTGCGCAACAGAATGCTCATGTGATCGAAGCTCGCTGCCTCCAGTAGAACCAGGAATCTTATGATGAGAGGTATATCCACACTGAACTCGCTCAGCATCATAGGTAAGAGGCCAAGACATATGTCGCTCCACGGCCTGTCCCTCCAAATGGGTGAAAGAATATTGACGAGGAATGGAGGGAATATACAGGAGAGCTCCCTCATGAAGATTCAGCCAATGCTCATCGGTAAGAGTCAACGTAGCAGGATCCTCCGCGTGATCACCGAACAGAAAACCGGGCTTCTTTAAAGTCTGAGTGGAAGTAGAATCTGCAGTGAAGGAGGCGTCCGTAATCAGCTGGCGTAAGCAATGACGCCCTCCATCCCGTATCAAACGACAGGATTCGTCGGAGCGATCTCTGTCAAACTGAGGGAGTGGACTAACGGCCTGCCTGACGGAAGCTAAAGAGAAGACCTCCCGGCTACAACCAGTATTAGCATGAGGAGGAAGGCTGCCCGCGGGGAACTCGACTGCAAGGATAGAGTCAGAAAGCTCATAAAAAGCGAGATAAGATCAGTCACGGGATAATTGGAGAGACGATTTTGAGTGTCCTACACTGGAAGAACGGTATGCATCATCACGTAAATAACGTGGTAACATACACCGACCTATAAGGTGTAGGACGACACAAAATCGCCCCAATATACCAGAAGACTTGAATTAGACAAGCAAGGCAAGTCTGAAACCTCAACCCTCGCGAAGGAGGGTATCAGCCCTTCCTGAATGACCCGCGAAGGGGCCAAACGAGGGTATGACAAAATCACCAAGTCCGAAACCTCGACCCCCGCGAAGGAGGGTGTCGGCCCTTCCCGAATGACCCGCGAAGGGGCCAAACGAGGGTATGACAAAACCACCAAGTCCGAAACCTCGACCCCCGCGAAGGAGGGTGTCGGTTCTTCCTTCATGACCCGCGAAGGGATCAATCGGGGATACAAAAATAAAAAAATTCCCACCCCCGAAAAAGGAAGCCGCTGGAGGGAAGGATGTTGTAGGAACTTCTTCCTCGCTAGGCTGCGAACGGGATCGACTCCTAGGAAGTCGAGATCGGCGTGGAGGCATCGGAAACCTGCAATGAAAAGCAGCAAGTTAGGTACAATATGAATACGCGAAATTTAAAAGGGAAATTAAGAACTTTAATTAAAATCCTATGTATAAATATGATTTTATAGTTGAAGTCTAATTAAACCTACAAATTTCGTGCATGCGAAACAATAATTGTCATTTTCGCGATAAATTTTGATGAAATACCCAGAATACCCTTCAAGGCTAAATTCGGGTCAAGGACACGCTCGAGTTGGGTCATGGTCATCATACCTGATCACATAGCACCCCCAGTACCCCACAATTTTGGTTAATCTTGCAAATAAACCCTTTGGTAAAATCTAGGCAATTTTGCAAATAAACCCTCAACAATTTGTGATCTCTTTGCATGAAGCACACCTCAAAGTTGTGGCCAATTGTGTCAAACATCCAAGCCTCAAAATTCCAGCCCTTTTGCAAATAAGCCCCCTATACTTTGTGGATTGCTCTTTTGCAAATAACCCCCTCAAATGGTAGCCCTTTTTTTGCACATATACCCTTCAAGTTTCAGTCCACATTTTTGCACATATACCCCTTCAAGTTTCGGCCTCATTTTTGCACATATACCCCTTCAAGTTTCAGTCCACATTTTTGCACATATACCCCCCAAAATTTCAGCCCCTAATTCGGCCAAAAAACCCCTCAAATCTCACCAAATTTTGCACATGAACCCCCATAAAATTTCGGCCATATATATGCATAAAAAAAATATATATATATTTTGCAATCAAAGATAAGAGAACCCATATCCCAATTTCGGCCAACAATCTACCCCAATGCAAATTTCGGTTTTCCCCCAAATCAACAAATTAGGGTTTTGGATTTTGAAAATTTCAAAAGAGGGGAAATCAAATTGAAGTTGTGATGAAGAGAGGTTCTTACCAAAGCTTGAAGAAGTGTTGATAATGGAACCCAAGATCCTCCAAACCCAACTTCCTTTGCTTGAACCCTTGGAGAAGATGAGGACTTGGAGAGGAAGAGGTTGAAGGCCTTGAAGAAGATGGGTTTAAAAGCTTGATGAGGGAGAGCTCTTGGGGGGGGCGGATTCTTACTGGAACCGGAAACAAAAAAAAAATGAAGAAGGAGGCGGAACCTAGCTGCTGGAACCGAAGAAAGAAAAGAAAAGAAGAGGAGAAGGGTAAATCGGCTTTATATTGGACATTTTTTTTCTCTTTTTTGTTGAACCGAACCGGCCTGAACCGGACCGGTCTGAACCGAAACCAAACCTAAATTGTTGATTCATACGCGTGTGGGCCGTGAAATGTGGGCTCGCGCGTGTGGAAGGGTCCGAGGATAATTCATATGCGTTTTGAACCTCTTTTCAGATGTTTTTACGACGTATTCAACACTCATATTTATACCCCGATGAGAATACGAGTCTAAACTATTTCTCACAATTGACGGGAAGTTCCTGAAAAATATTTTGTAAGGATAACCCGTCAACCTCCGACGGGTACACGAGGCTAAACTAATTCCCGAAACTCCCAAGAGTACACGAGTATAAACTGGTTCTCCTCACGATCGATTCGAAACCCTAAGGTCAACGCCGGATCAACGCGTAGCCCTAGGTCAACGCCGGTCAACGCGTTGCAATGAGAGTCAACGCTGATCGATTCGAAACCCTAAGGTCAATGCCGGATCAACGCGTAGCCCTAGGTCAACGCCGGTCAACGCGTTGCGATGAGAGTCAACGCTGATCGATTCGAAACCCTAAGGTCAACACCAGTCAACGCGTTGCGACCGAAAGTCAACGTTCGACGATTCGAAACCCTAGGGTCAACGCCGGTCAACACGAAACCCTAGGTCAACGCCAGTCAACGCGTTGTGACCAAAAGTCAACGTTCGACGATTCGAAACCCTAGGGTCAACGCCGGTCAACGCGTAACCCTAGGTCAACGCCAGTCAACGCGTTGCGACCAAAAGTCAACATTCGGCGATTCAAAACCCTAGGGTCAACGCCGATCAACGCGTAACCCTAGGGTCAACACCGATCAACGCGTAACCCTAGGTCAACGCCAGTCAACGCGTTGCGATAAAAAGTCAACGTTCGACGTTCGAAACCCTAGGGCCAACGCCGGTCAACGCGTAACCCTAGGTCAACGCCAGTCAACGCGTTGCGACAAGAAGTCAACATACGGTGATCTGAAACCCTAAGTCAGCACAATATGACGGAGATAGTCAGTTCAAAGTCAACTCAATGACACAAGCCAAACTCGACTCACTGGTGGTAGACTCGAGACTCCGACGACGGCCAGGCGATAAACGCAGCGCCGAAAGAACTTCGGTTATTCGTCAAAGCATCGAATAGACCGAAAATCGAAGGAGCCAAGAGTTGAAGCTAACTACAGGTCCTTACGCCGACTGAAGGCTAGACCAATCACATCCAAAGTATTCCAGCGATGTTTACAAAAGGAACAATGCCCTTCGTGTCTCATTCATTCAACAGATGATCTAACTCTCGGAGCTGATAGAACTCCTCGTCAGAATTCCAACACAATTCGAATCACTAAAATCCGAGTTCGGACGAAGAATTTACAGCGGAGTGTCTCGGATTTTTTGGAGACACCCCAGGGGTGTCCTAGATTTTTGGGGACGCCCCAGGGGTGTCCTAGATTTTTGGGGACGCCCCAGGGGTATCCTAGATTTTTGGAGACGCCCCAGGGGCGTCCTAGATTTTTGGGGACACCCCAGGGGCGTCCTAGATTTTTGGGGACACCCCAGGGGTGTCGCCTATAAATAGAAGCCTTAGGTCTCACTTTTTGGGGATCTGGAATTTTGGAGAAGAGGCGAAGCCCTGTCGGAGCGAAGAGTGATCGAGCACTTCAACACAAGAGGGTTCTTCATCAGATCTACATCACCCGCATCCGTTCCTTAGCATTACCCCTCGTCGGTAATCCTAAGAAGAGCAAATATCTCGCTTTATCCAAGATAGGCGCTTCAAGTTTCTAGATCCCTTCGCGGATAGACGAAGCTCTGCCTAATTTTTCAGCAATCAGATCTGATCGACGGTGGTCCACGGATAAACCCCGGCACAGGCAAAGACACACACGCAAACAGAAGACCGATAAACGATCTCTGTGTTTGTTTGATAAAGTTGTAAACTTTTTATTTTCATTGTGTAAGGAGATCTTATAAAAAGATCGACTTTTTATTTCATTCGAGTTTATTGTAACGACTAAAGTTGTAATAGATTCGATAGCAATGAAAACAGCAACTTTCACAGCAAACAATTGTGGCGTCCCCACCACAATGAGTTGCATTGATGCCACCCTGATACAATAATAAGTAAGCAATGGTGGTTTGCTAGGGTGTCCCCTGGATGACATATTACATCGATGTCACCCCAGTGTAATAACAAGTAAGTAATGATGTTCCAAGAATCTACAATCATCTAATAGGTTACCAAATAGTATTAGGCATAGACTAGAACGGTCTAAGAGGGAAAATAGTAAGATATTTTTATCGGAAAATAGAATTAGATTAACTATTTAGAATATAGGTACACTTACCAGAAAGACTATAGAATTAGTAGGTGTCATGCTTAGAAGAAAGATAAATATAATTTGTTTACAAGAAACTAAATAGATAGGTGAAAATCTAGAGAAATTGAAAAGACCGGATATACGCTTTGGTACATGGGAAAAGAGAAGAATAGGAATGGAATAGGAGTTCTTATAGATAATATAATAAAAGAAAGTGTTGTCGAGGTAAAAAGAGTTGGAGATAGAATAATACTAATAAAAGTTGTCTTAGATGTAGAGGTTATTAATATTATTAGTACTTACGCATCACAAATAGGTTTGCCCGAGAGTATTAAAAGAAAGTTTTGGGATAGATTAAATGAATTAATACAAGGAATCCCATTTAGAGAGAAATAATTTATAGGAGGTGATCTTAATGGGCATGTTGGTGAAGATAATAACGGATATAAGAGGATACATGGAGGTTTCGGGTATGGATATAATAACGATATGAGTAAATCAATTTTAGAGTTTGCAACATCGTATGTTTGATAATAGCAAATACACCTTTTAGAAAAAAGATGAACACCTAATAACCTTTAAAAATGGTTTTAATAATAGTCAAATAGACTTTTTTTACTAGAAGGCCGGATAGGTTAATATACAAAAGTTATAAAGTTAAATTAGGAGAGAGTTTAAGTACACAACATAAATTGATGGTCTTAGACATATCTATTAAGAAGTAGAGTAGAAAAACTAACGGGAACAAGAGACTAAGAACTAAATGGTGGAATATGAAAGGAGATACTTTAATATATTTTTAAAAAAGATAATGAAAGAAGATATATGGAATATAGATAATGAGACTAATATTATATGGAATAACATGTCTTCTTGTATTAGGAAAGTGGCTAAAGATGTACTAGAAGAATCTAAATATTGTAGACTAGACGGTAAGGATAGTTGGTGGTAGAATGAGAGTGTGCAAAATGTTATTAGAGAGAAGAAAACTTTATATAAATAGTTTTAAAAGTATAGGTGTAAACAAAACTTGGAAAAATATAAACTAGTGAGGAAGCAAACAAAAAGAGCGAATAGTGAGAATAAATACAAGGTCTATTAGAAGTATCATGCCTAGTCTAGTCATTTTGAATAAAGTGTGGTTGTTATTATCCCCCTGTTGTTAAGTCTGAAGTGTTTCTATCTAGATGTAGGGGTCTGTAGGTTAAGTGTGGTAGGTGACGACATTGGTCCGCTCCCTACCCACTTCTCCTACAGTGCTCTCTTCCATCTAGAGATGTTGTAACCTCCTATGTTGATACTTTAGCAATATATTAAATGAACAGGGCTTTACACCCTATTTCTCAGGTTCAAAAAAAAAAAATACAAGGTCTATGAAAATTTTTATAAGAAGTTAGAATATAAGAAGGGAGAGAAAGATATATATATATATAAGCTTGCTAATATTAGAGAAATGAAGATTAAGTAATATTAGGTGTATTAAAAGTAACGATTAAAGAGTTCTAGTGACTGGCGGTGAAATAAAAGAGAGATGGAAGAGTTACTTTTATCAATTGTTTAATGATAACCAAACAAGTGAGCAAAATAAAGATTTTGACCATATAGTGAATGATAGAAACTATAGATGAGTACACCTAGGAGGTAGCCACTCATGTTCCACCCTCTAGTCAAATTCTCTACCCCTAGGACCTTTAATTTTTAGAGAATATGGCATCTCAAAATTTGCTTGTATCTCTATACAAACACGAGCATAAGAGATTCTATCTTTTTTAGCAGTGATACTATCAGTGCAAACAGGTTTACCGATTACACTAGCAAGTTTACTCAAAGCATGCTCATTTCACAAATGAAGCTTTAGATTAGGAAGCTTCACCCAAATCGAAATAGAGAAAATATTTAAATCTTCAAGATTAAGATCAACTGGCCAAGCAACTAACATCAAAGGCTTATAATCAAAATACCAAGGACCCTGTTGAAGGACAACCACCTTTTACTCACTTGAAGAGAATTTGAATAATTATATAACTGAATCCATGGCTAGAACCTCAAACGATCCTTGCTCACTCAGTGTTTGGGCGCTTATGCTTTGACTTGACTTTTTTGGGTTGTGTTCCACCCAGAATTTTAGATTGTTTGTTGGAATAAGCCCCATGAATATGTAGTTAGAATTTCATAAAAGTTGACTTACTGTATGCTTACTAATTTGTTTTGGCTTCTAACATCCATATTCTTTTCAAAGGTCAATTTATTATATTTGATAGGCAATATCACTAGAAATGATTAATCAACCATCACTATGACAAAGCTTTACTGTAGTAAAATCATTCCAAGATAGTTTTAGCTATTTAGATTCAAATCCTACTAGACATATTTAAAGTGGATTTAGAAAAAGACAACTGCATAAGACATCTTAGATTTTCGTCCACAAGAAGAACATTCAACGTACATGGGTATTTTAGAGTACAAAATTATACATCTTAAACCTTAGGTTTACACCCATACATTTACATAAGCGGGTCTAAAATTCTCACTTGTACCCTAAAAAGTAGGGTAAACAGGTAGAAATTTATTCTTATTCATTGTCACTCATAAAACTGTTGGGGATTCGAAACAATCAAATCGAACATTTGCCCTTCCAGACCTTGTTGGAAAGTTTAGCAAGAAAGAAATTCACCACAAATAAAGATCAAAACTTGTAGGAAAGAAAGAGGAGACGAAACACATAGATTTAACGAGGATCGGCAACGTGCCTACGTCCTTGGGAGCCACACCATACAAGTTCTTTGATTAATTGAAGAAGGAATATAAACACTCAAACAATGGTTTAATCTCTCTGAGATCTCTCTCTCAAAAGCTCTCTTTTGATGTCTTATGATGTCTTACAAAGCCCCAAAATCGTTTAGGTATATATAGGAATCCCAACCCAAACAGAATACAAAAATAATTTAGGAAACTGCCAGCACGACTCGCGGTCGACTGCCGAACCAGGCGCGGTCGACCGCCCGCCGCGTCCAATTGTCGCGATCGATCGGTAAAAGACCAGAGACTTTTCTCAGCTTCGTGCATGTTTGCGGTCGACCTCAGAGCCAGGCGCGGTCGACCGGATCTCGTTTTGACTGATTCCTTCTTTTTCTTCTTCGTCTCCGTCTTCTTGATTCCAACTTTGGGTCTACACTTAGACTATCACAATCTCCCACTTAGAGACCAAAGCGCCATCAATGAGTCCATATTAACTCTCTCCTTCTTCGCAAGTATCTTCTCCTTCCTGGAAAAAATCTTTTCTTCAATCATCATCATCCCGACGATCCCGCTGATCATCCTAGTGTGGCTCCGCTTTCATCTTCTACTCGTGAAGGCCAACTGAATTTGCTCAGAACTCCAGTTTTTTAATGGTGACTGCCTTCATCAACATGTCCGCCGGATTTTGACTCCCCAAAATCTTTTCTAACTGTAACTTCCCGTCCTCGATCAGCGAGTGTATGAAATGGTATCGTAGTATTTATATGTGTTTTATATCCTAGTATTTATGTATGTGTTTGAATTTGAAATACAGTGATACCTGAATTTCTCAATGAAAATGTATGATATTAATCATGTAGAATAAGAAACAAATGAATAGACAAAAGTCACATGTGCAATATACGTGTAACTTACACGAATTTGCTAATTTTGTACATGGTTAATGAAAGAGATTAATATGTTGATGGGAGGTTACAAATTAAAAATGTAAACTACGTAGTCATGGTAAAATATAATTATTTGGGGGTTATATGCATTTAATTGGCGGTTATGTATGCATAGGTATGATTTATGTATGGATGCATGTATTTTATGTATGCATGTATATGTTTTAAAGGGCATTTTCAGTAGAAATGTTTTAACTGCCCATCCATTTCGATCGCCTTCAAGAAATGGAGAGCGAGGGCGACGGTTCAGAGGACGGTCACCAACGTCAGGCCTCCTGACTCGAGTTATACGGTTGAAGTGAGCGAGCCGAAAGGAGTGAGAGTTCAGGTTACGTTGAAGGTGCTGGCGTTCAAAGAAGCGAATGATAAGAAGAGTTACATGGTCTGGTTCGAGTCGAGGAAGAAGAGAGCAAGAGGAGTGACCTTTGCTGAAGGGCAGATTATATGGAAGAATCTCCATCAGAAGCAGTACAAGGTGAGAAGCCCGGTGTCTGTGAGCTGGGCTGGGTAGTAATTGTTTGGTTCAAAAGTCGCTGCTGTGGAATTCATTATAACTTTGTTCTATTACAACAAATTCGAAAGAATAATCTTTTTATAAGACTTTTTCTACACAACAAAACAAAAATTACAACTCTTGAGAAACAAACACGAAAATCGTCTATCAATTCTCGTTTTCGTGGGACTTTGCCTGTGCCGGGAACTCTTTGGTTCGTGGACCGCCGATTCACAGATCGTGAAGAGGGGGCTTATGATTCTAACTTCGTTATCGAAGTAGAAATTGAAACGATATCTTATCGAAGTAAGATAGTCGTTCTTCTTAAAATCAAGTCGAAGCTTAATTTCAAGGCGTTGCAAGAAAAGAACCCAAATCTCTGCTCTCTCTGCTCTGGAATGCTCTAACAAATGCTCGATCCTCGTCAGAAGTGACCCTAGGGGGGTATTTATAGCCTCAAGGGTCAGTAACTGCAAAAACTTAACAATCGAAGAAGTCAGTACGGCGAGACAGTGTTTACTGTCTCGCTGGGCGAGACAGCGTTTGCTGTCTCGACCCGCGAGACCGTTTGCTGTCTCGACCCGCGAGACATTAAATTTGCTGTCTCGCTCAGCAAGACAGTAAATGCTGTCTCGGAAAATGGCAGTTTCTCGCTGTAACTGTTCTCTCACGTTTCAAACTCCGTTATTTTGGCAGTTATCCACGTGATTTTCGCCCATGATGTTTCCCACGTCCCTTGGCAGTTAATGGACACGTGTAGGGCAGTTACAAATGTAGTTTTGACTATTTCAACACTGTCTCGCTGGCGAGACAGCAAAGACTGTCTCGCTGGCGAGACAGCAAAGACTGTCTCGCTGGCGAGACAGTTCATACTTGTTTTGATTTTTCCAAAACAGTATGAAATCCTTTCTTGTGAATTTTTGAGTGATCTTCTCTATGCTTGGGATATCTATTAGCATTTTTTGACGCCTACAGATACCCCCTCCAAAGTATTCCAGACTCATTCTTTTATAGAGGAGCATGGGATACTTTGGATAAGATAGATTTTACTTACGATCCCTTCAATGCTTGGCTGAATAGATCGTATGAAAGGACTTGTAAATGGCTTCAATGTTTAACCTCTTCTGCTGTTAGTCTATCCAGTTCTTCGTAGAATAGCTAACGTTCTCCCGGCGTCGCGTTTATCGCTTGACCGTTGTCGAGATCTTGAATTGAAGTTGATACTTGCTCTTGTGAATTCAGCGTTTACCATTGAATTGGTATATCCATTGAGAATTCCTCAGGTTATCCTTAAGAATATTCAGATTAATATTCTCCAGAAACTTCCTGTTGAGGGTGGGAATACAGTTTAGACTCGTGTACCCATTGGAGTATTCCACTGTTCCATAGTGCAAAACAGAAAAGTTTACTGTCTCGCTCGGCGAGACAGAGTTTTCTGTCTCGCTGGGCGAGACAGTGTTTTCTGTCTCGCTCGGCGAGACAGAGTTGTCTGTCTCGCTCAGCGAGACAGAGTTTCCTGTCTCGCCCGGCTGCTATATAAGTCGGGACTTAGGGTTTTTAGGGTTTTTCACGTCGATTTTCTGGCGATTTTCAGGCGATTCTTGGGCGATTTTCGAGCGATTTTCGACCAGTTCTTCACCTCTTCTTCTTCTCTTCGTTTCTGACTTGGGTGGTGCTTCGATTTGAAGAGATTTCATTTGGATTTGAAAGGTCTGTTTCCCCTCTTTTCTTCAAAATCTTGACTTTTGGCAACCTGTGACTGTGCATGCAGCATTTCAGTTGTATTTGTCCTATTTTTTGTCGATTTCATGTTCAAAATCTTAACCTTCCTCTTGGATTTCAATGTAGATCACATACTCATCATGTCGCCACGTAGAGCTCGAGGGAAGGGAATCCGACCGACTGTTCAGAGCCCTGAGGAGGCTGCCCCTGCTGCACCCTCACGTGGAGGTATATTTCTTTCACCTTTTCACGAATTTAAATATTGTATTTCGTCCATTCCATATATATATGCACCTGTATTTGCTTGCAGATCCTCGTTTGTATCCTTTGAGGTACCTTCGAGAAGAGCCGGTATCCTCCTTTGAGGGGATCGACGCTTAAAAGTGTTTGTTTTGCTTTGACAAAACACACTTCATAATACACAGGGGCGATTTTACATCATCCCATATGTATTGAAAGGTTTTGGTATGCCGTTATAATGCCCGCATACCTCCTTTATACATATGGTGGATAGAAAATCGTCACACCTGTTATGAGATAACGACTATATCTTATAGAATGAGATATACCGTTTTTTCTCTAAAATTTTAGGATGACACTTACACCATTTATGTGTATGCCTCTTTTATCAGTCCGATTTCCTTCTACCACATTTACTGCTGATGTGATTACTGGCCGGAGTAGCGTGACCCACTCTTATTACGAGGGGATCCCGTTAATTGAATTCTCTCCCCAGTTTAAATCTGATTATAACGGAAGTGATAGTGAATTAATCCAGCGAGGTAGTTGTCGTGTTCTACGACGATTAATCACAGATGCGCCCTTGATCTCGGAGCAAGACTCGAATCAATGCATAAGGAAGCCAGATTTCTTATTTGGTGACTCGGTAAAAGATCCGAAGATTGCTTTCTGCCAGCCTGCGCAATGGTTGCACCAGAGTGGATCATCATTCTTATATCTGCCTTTTATCCCTCGGGATCATTCACTGTTAATGTTCAGGAACCTATCAGTTGGACGAGAGATGTTCTGGAAATTAACCGAAAACCACGAGCACATTCATTGTGGTTTCATTGGAAAGGAAGCAACTCCAGGTTCCAGTGAAAGAGCTCATGTGAGAGGACTTCATCCGGGTGTCTTAGGACAAGACAATATTCCTCAGAACGAAAAGATAGTGCAAGCCAACACTGTGAAGAACCGGTTAGCGGCAGCAGGAAAAAGATTGCCCAGAGAGACTTTCAGGTGTTATGGATGGGTCCATTATTCTGGGAACAAGTGGTGGTGGACCAGGATGACCCAATATGTGTTGAAACGTTTTGGGCGAGAATTAGCAGGATTAGGGTTGGATGTCCCGATTCGTGCCACCATGCATGGCTTGCAGAGCAGTGTAAGTCATTTCCTTTGTTTGTTCGAGATCTACAACCCGGACACCAATACATTCTTTACCAAGAACGGGGAACTTGGACTACCACTGCATGAAATGATGCAAGTGTCTGCTTTGCCTATGGGCGATGTCCCATATCAAGAGTTCTTTCCGACCACCAATCAGCTGATTAAGATGAAAGATAGCTCGACTGCGACCTATGACACTCTATGGGAATTGACCTGTCATTATCATATAGCCATGGCCGAGATGGAGCCCAAAGCCAGAAAGAAGTCTCCTCAAGTCAGTTTAAAACAATTCGCTGATTATCTCTTCAAGAACCTGGATGTCCGTTCGGCAGATGTGTGCGGATTGTCTCCCTTGAGTACGGATGAAATTAACCGTTTGTTAGAGAAAACCAACGCGCATTCTTATACTTCGCGCTCAGAAGATGGATTTTTGCACGGCACTAAGTTCCGCTCTTATCTGTGGCAAGCTGGTGTTCCGATTAGCCCTACTGCTCTGCTGGCGGGTTTTCTAGCCTTATGGTTAAAGAGATGTGTAGTTCCCCATCAATCCGCAGATGCGATGCCAATGGAAGTGTTGTATCCGGCCGTCCAGCTGGCTACAGGTCGCAAATTATCTTTGCTTCCCGCTATGGTGGCCGATATTCATAGTGGATTGCGGCAACTAATCTCCGCATTTACCCAGGAGAAAAAGAAACCTTCCGCCAGCCTGTCCGTTCCGAAGCTGGAGCTGCCCTATACTTACTTAATGGCCTGGTTGGTACTTCATCGACCAGATTTAATGGAGGCTCCTGATACGGTAGATCTCAGTGTCCCTCTGTTGCAAAATCTCGAGAATTGCAAATGGAGCAAACATCGAGAGCCGGACATAACGAGGCAGTTTAAAATTCACAAATGTTGGGAATTTTTTCCTTGCTTCCCTCAGTTCTCCGGTACTTACAACACTACCTTAGTGGATGCTGAAGACCCAAGGCAGAATCGTACCATCTTGGATGTCGGGTGCTTCAGATGGTTGATGAATATTCGACCTGGATATCTGTTGTTCAGGATAAGGGATGTTTGCCACATCGAACCCTATCTTCCATGTCGATTCGCCCGTCAGTTCGGGTATGATCAGATATACATCGGCAACCCGAATCGTCACCTCAGCTTTCGAGGTGGACTTATCGACGGGGCGAGAGCTTGGTTTTGGAGCATTGCCGGCTGCACCAATGTTGAATTTGATCTCCCCTTAGAGACGCCGCCTCTACGGATGACTTTCCTCTTTTGTAAATGGCTGATAGCCACCAATATTGTCACTCGACGTAGGAGGATATCAGACTCAGAGGAAGAAATAGCTCCACGGCAAGCAGCAGAACTGCCTCGCGAAGCTGTGATGTCGCCTCGAGGAAAAGAGGCTGCTGAATCATCAAGGAAAGGAAAGGAACCGGCTCGCTCAGTCGGTAGTGAAGAAGAATTTGACTCTGAGGAGACGGAGACTTCCGAGGAGGCGGGTGAGACTAGCTCAAGTTCTGATGAAAGAGCGGGTCTTTCTGATTCTTTCTTTGAAAGAGGACTTGTGTGCCCATCTGTTGCTCCTACTCAATCACAAGCTACTTCGAGAAAACGGGGAGAGAGGGTCGTCATGACCTATCCTAATCGGATGACGGTAGACATTCTCAGTGGGGACGAAGAGGATGAAGAGGATGAAGTGCCTCTTGCTCGTCGACAAAGATCACGACCTCCCACTCAAGCTCAAACCCAAATTCCTCCTCGAACTGAATTACGCACCAAACGTCGTCACGAAGGTCCTGAAGCACATCCACCGAAGAAACAAAAGAAAGCTGCTTCTAAACCGCGCGTTCATCTTTCTGCCGTAGAAGATATCTCTGGTCGTAATGTTTCTTCTGATGAACTAGGTAATTATTTATTTTTATCTCTCTTACATTTTTTTTTAATGCTCGAACTCATTTCATTTCCAATTTCTGTAGAGAGTCAAGAAGAGGGAGAATATCGAGTTGGAGCTGCTTCTCCTGGAGGTATGGAGACTGAGGAGACCAGCTTCGTCCAGCAAATGCAAGATGTTCTGAAAGAAGGACCAGCTGACGTTCCACCCACTCCTGACGTTGATCCATCAGCTGCGGACACAGGTACTGATCTTTCTCCTCTCGGAAGAGAAATCCGAGAAATGAATGAGTCGGACCGTGTGCCTCCTCTAATGACCTGTGCGCTTTCTCTCCTTTTAGTCAAATTAAAAGAAGCAGGTACCAGTAGTGGAGCTCTCGAATCAGCCCCGACCAACGAAGGTAAAATTAATTGTCTTTTTGAGCAAATTCGTCTAAATTTATGTGTCATTTACGACTCAACACATTTTGTAGATGTCACAATGCACGAATCTGTTGGAGGAGAGACCACGCATACAACAGAGGTCGAGGAATTCAATGAACATCACCTCGATTTCAATCTCTCTGAAGGCGACCATGAGTATATCTCCGACTTACTATCGGGGAAAACTCCTGGTGCAGCCACGGAATCCAACGTTGGAGTCGGTCCAACAGAAGCAGGTCCTTCTGAAAGTAAGACCTTTATTCTGTAAACTCCATATATGCATACATATATATTTTAACTTGATTAACCATATAAGTATTTGAATTATAGGACCAGAGATATCGATCCCACGAGGAAGGTGTTTTGTAGGAGAAAATATAAAATTGGTTCTTATTTCGTGTGCGTGACAAATAGGAGTGAATGAATGAATGTGATTGTGAAGAGATTGAGAGAGTGAAAATGGTATGTAAATAGATGCGTGAATGTGATTGTGAAGAGATTGAGAGAGTGAAAGTGGTGTGTAAATAGGTGCAAAGTGTAAGTGAGAGTGGATTTGAGTATGATCAATAAGGTGAGAAGGAAAAAATGAATAAAATCAAGAAACAAATGAAAAATCAAGAATGAAGAACAAAATTCAAAAATAAAAGAAAATGTAAGAAATTAAAGATGGTGGATTCAATTATAGATATGGATAATCTAAAATTGAACCCACTTCTTAGACAAGGGTGATTCCCTAGAGGGTTCTAGCCTAAAGGCGAATCAAACAAAATAAAAATAAACAAAAAGAAAAACTAAACCCAAGAGGGTTCTAGCCTCAAGGTGAATAGTATAAGAAATTAAAATCTAACTACAAAATAAATTGCAAAATCTAAACTACAAAATAAAATTGCAAGAATTAAATACAAGAAAATAAATCTATTCTATAAGCATGAAATAAATCTAAGGCAAGAGGGTTCTAGCCTCTTGGCTATTTAACAAGAAAATAAAATCTAAACTACAAGCATAGAAATAAAGCTACACTAATAAGCAATAAAAGAGAAAAAGAAAGAAATGCAAACCTTCAAATAATTATCCATCTTCATCTTCATTTTCATCATCCAACAAAGAGAAGAAGAAAAAATTTAAAGTGGTGAAAAAATTATTATTATTAAATGCAACTAAAGTTACAATTTTGGAAGGCCTTCTCAATTAAGAGTAGCCCTCCTCTCCAAAAGGAGTTTA